TAGGAAAGGAGGAAAGTGGGTTTAACCTAACTCACATCTTTTCCTTGTGTTTATTTTCTCTCGGAGACCCGACTGCCAGTTTCTATGGCTTAGTGGTAGATAGTCTCCGTGGAACATCTCTGGGGCTGGCAGATAGATTTTTCCTTTCTCTGTTAAATGAATCTGTGATTGAATGGAGAACTCGGATCCTATGATGACACTCTGAGTCACTGAGACCAAGTCTCAGTAAAAGCCATAACATAAAGACACATCTCCCTTTAAAAATATCACATCTCCACTGTTCTGGGAGACGACATCCTCGTACAGTGCCCCAAATAACGTAAAACAACTTAGGAAGGAAAGTGCCTTAAGCAACCAACATCACACAAATATGAAATAACCCAGGTTGTGACAGGATAAATATTATGTCTGGGAAGACATCCACAGCATTTCAGAAGCGCACTGGGAGAGGGCACTATTTTGAAAATGGGGCAAGTTTTGAGCTGCCAGGAGGTCAACATAAACAACAGATTCCACTGAGAAATGAAACCCTTTCCTGACAGATGACAGAACACTTGACTTCATGGGCAGGACTCCCACTGTGTCTGCAGTGGAGGCTGATGGTCACTGCACAAGAGGCTTTCCTGTCAATGACAGAGGGCCCCCTCCCCTCTACAAGTGTTACATTCACTCATGACTGATCCATCAAAGGCCTGGACTGACAGCTTGAATGGAATCTATTTTCTTAATCCTACTAACCAGGTCTTGGCTCTAATGGCATCAGGTGTCACCAAAACAGCAGGAAATGTTGGCTTCATGGATTCCTCTGTTTACTCATTTTCTGGGCATCCACCATGTGAAACCTGGTGCTAGCCTGACCCTCTAGTGAGAGCCAAGTTACAAATGCACACATGCTTAGTACAGCATCCACAGATCCTGGAAGATCTGCAACCACCCAGAAATGTAAATCGCACAGGGAATTTGTGCATTTTTCTCTCCTCGGGAAAAGTCTTTTGAAGAATTTTCAGAATTGTCTAATGACATTTTCGAAAGACTAAGAATCACATTCTTAGAACAAATGGAAATCTGTGATTGAAGGGAGAACTCGGATCCTGTGATGTTTCTCATCTGATCTGTTATTTACAGTGTGGTTGTGGATGCAGTTTGTTAGATGTGTGTCTGCTCTGGTTCCCAAATGAAATTAGAGCCATATTCGCAGATGGATTGATTCTTTCCCAGCTGATGAAATGCTCCAATAGGGACAAAGTATTTGAAGATGCCACTTCTAACCATAGGGACGACATATTTGAAGATGTCATTGCTAAAGTTTCTCAAATCTCTACCACCTGAAGTTGCTGAGAGGCAGTTTTTTTCTTGTGATGGGAGCAGGCCAACTGGAGTAGAGTGAGATTAACTGCTCAGCAAATTAGCCTTATGAAAGTGAATTCCTGTTGACCTTGAACTTGGATTTTTTTTTTTTTTTTTTCCTGAGGGTGACTGATAATCTCAGGCCCAGTGATTAACATGTGCATTGTTCGAACAACCACCTGGGTGCCCTCCTAATCTCTGGAGTTGCTGGCCTCCCAGAGCTCCTGCCCTTTTTTATTTCCCTAGGAGAAGCTATCTAGTTCTCCTTTGTAAAGGCCCTATCAATCAACATGCAGATACTGAATCAAAGGGAGAGACAGTCTCAGGGTGAGATAGATCTAAATTACAGAGAGCCTGAGGAGCCCATGGACAAAGAAAGAAGGCTTGAGCTTTACCCATATTCTTAGGGGCCAGCAGTCAGCGGGGCCTTAAAAGCTAGACAGGCAGGTTTTCCCAGTAGCAGGCTGAACCCGAGGTGAGGAATTGTGAAGCTGGCCACCAGCCAGCACCCAGACAGATCCGTTTTGTAGAGTACAGAAAAACCCTTCCACGGGGGTAACTTCTGGCAGTTTGTATAAGGGTCACAATCCCCAGAGTCTGGCATCTGGCAAAAGAAAGGGGAAAATATTCTGCACTAAGCACCCAGGCTCCTTTCAGAATCCATCACTGACAGAGTTCAGAACTGGCCTTGAAATGTGTGGACGAGTCGAAGGCCAGGACCTTCTCAGCCGGTGTGTGGATGCCAAGGGCATATTTTTAGGCACATTTTCAAAAACAGAAAATGAAATCTCAGATGGTCTTAAGATCACTTAATAAAACATAATGAAACTTTTAAAGGATAAGACTCAGCCAGGAAGATTAAGGCTAATTGTCAGAATTAGTGAGAATCATGTGCTCTCTTTTTAATGGGAAGCAAATTGTGTATGTGTGTGTATGAGGGGGCGGAAAAAAAGGCTAGAAGAAAAAATTATATTTGGTAGACTTTGATGTATTGTTTTGTTTTGGTTTTGGTCTTTTTGAGACAGGGTCTCCCTGTAGCCACAGCAGGCTTGAACTCGCTATGTAGACCAGGCTGGTCTCAACCTCACAGAGATCCGCCTGCCACTGCCTCCCGAGTGCTGAGATTAAAGGCTTGTTGACACTTCAAAGAGCAAAATCAAATTGTATTTCATGACCACAGAGCGAAATTATGAGAAAAAACCAATCAAGTTCGGCCTTCTGACAGCTCATTTTATCATGTATTATTGACCCCCTCCCAAAAAATGCAAAAATTTAAGAGCAATATCACACATGGTAATCATAACAGTGTTAATGATCATTTATATCTCCTTATTTTTGATTGCTTACTACCATTCTTAGAAAGGAGACACTGTTCAAATCGGATATCATCCATTTATGGCAGCTAATTAATGTTTTTCGTTTGAGGATGTGAGAAGACTGCCTGGCCTAGGTCACTGCTATTTCACTCAGGTGGGTTTATGCAAACTCAAGTGCACACTGGCATGAATCAGGCAGCTGAATGCAAACAGTCCACACCTTAGGGAAACAGTTCACTGTTCCCCGGGTAAACACCAGCACCTATTAGTCACCCACTCAAAACAGAAATGGCCAAAGAGGGATGGGAGACCAGCCCTCACCACCAAAGTAAGCACCTACTTTCAAATCCCCATTCTTCATTTTTGATGATTTACTGTGGCCATTGTCAGAAGCCCACCATGTTTCCCTCTGGGAAAATGCTACTAGTAGGGACCATTAAATAAACTTCAAAACTTTCAGAACCAAAACATGACTAAAGACCCACCTACATACATTTAGGACAATAATAATTTCTGTGGAAAAGCAACTAAACCATCCTCAGATAGTCATTCCTAAAAGGAACAGTCTGGAAGAACTGAATTAAGTCTGTTGCTGGGCAGGTGGACATAGGCCTGGCTGCCAGCCTTTATTTCTTATTGGCCTCTCACACACTTTGCCAGCAACTCATCTGGAACCTTCAAGATGTTTTCTAAACACATGTCTCTGAATCTAATGCAAATTCCATTTACTGAAAGAGACTTTTAATATAACAAGTGAACCTACTTAATGACATAGGCTTTCACATCCTATAGCACAACTCCTGCTTTTGATAGTGGATAGACTTTGCATTACCATATTATTAGCACAGTGCTTTGAACATATATTTTCAATCATGTTATGTTTTTTAAAATTTTCTCCAGCTATGATTTCATTATGAAAATTCCCAGGACATCTAGGGTAGCAAAAACAACAGCCAGATCTACGTATACTTACTCCTTTCCCCTTTCCCACTAATCAAATTCCATGAGAATACAGATTTACTAATATTTTTGAGTGCCTTCATCAAGAGTAGTGCATCTTAGCAATATTTTTTCTTCAGCCAATGACTGTGTCCATCTTGATGTTTACTAAAGCCTTATGTATCTGAAAAAAAAAAAAGAGTAGCAATGACGCCTTTGGTCAGCATTTCTGTATTTTGTTGTTTCTGTGGTGGCAGGGATTGAACCCCAGGCTTTGCATATGCTAGGCAAGTACTCTACCACTGAGCTACAACCCCAGTTCCTTTTCATTTCTTTTCCACTGCAAGAACTACTACTATACTTAGATATTTATCATGTGTTTTTTATTACACTTGAAATAACTTTTAATGTTAAGCTTATTCAATAATAGATCTCCCAAAATGAAAATTCCAAAGCAAATGACCCTTCCCCAGACTTTCACCACTTGTTGATGTTCATAAAATATGACTTAGGTTCTTATAATACAGAGAGAATACAATACTTGAAAGATAATTGGAGACCAGAAAATTACAGTGAGCCAAAATTCCTCCCTTCTACTCCAATACTTTGATAACAGGTTCAGGGTGAAGGAAAATAAAAGTACACATCAGCTGGACTAATGCAGTACTTTCTTTGGATAACCAGGTCTCTAACATGATTAGTATCTAATGTTAAGTGAGTCTGCTTTCTCACACCAAATTGTTATAAGGCATTCGAAGTGAATACAACAGGAAGTTCACGTGGACATCAACTGCAGTAACAGGACTTCGTATTTTACCCTAAAAATGTAGGCTTGGGAGTTTGAGTTGGTCAATCAGGAGGGGATGGAATTGAGGGAAGATGGGCCTGGGATGTGAATGCTAGAGAATAATAAAAATATCTGGTTTTAAAACAAAAATCTATGTGTCTGTATATAGAAGCTTGCCTGAAACAGTGTTTCTATCATCATGCTGTATAAGGATTTCCTAATATTATTGATATGTCCAGTTGAAACCCTGTTACTTGTCATAGAAAACACAAAAATCACAAGCTAAAGACACATTATTTTCGATTATCAAGCTGTGAACTCCCATTATATAATCTTAGCTATAGCTATGGTAAGTTTTAATTTCACATTTTCTTAAAATTCACAATACATGTCTTGTGTATTCTAAATAAGTTTTAAACCAACTTAATCATTGAAAGTGACAACATAAAGGTAGATTCTGCTAAAAACTTACTTTCAAATAAATATTATTTTAAAGTTTGATGTAGCAACAAGAATAAGATGGCCCATCACAGAAATAGCTCAGGTTGGCCCATCTGGGTTTGTCGCCTGGCAAATACTCTGTTTCAAGCCCAGTTTTCACAGATACGCACCTCTACCACTCCGACCGACAAACCTGAGGTCATTGAATCTGGCAACTTGGTTCTTCATGGCTGCGGTAGCGTTTCTCAGCTCAGCAGAGTAGTTCTCATCATTGCCGGCCATGACAGTGACCAGGGTGCCATCTGGAACGTCCCCCAGAGCTACCACCTAGACATCAGGCAGGAGACAAATGCAGGCGTCAGGGCTGTTATACAGACACGTTTGTGTCAGTTGCATGACAACTGTTTTGAAATAAAAGGCACCTGACAAGATGCTTTTTAGTTTTCAGAGGAATAATCATAAGGAAAACATATGAGAATTATATAATAATCATAAGGATAAGCTATTAATGAGAAGGCTCACTTTTAACTACTTTTAATTCCATAATGCGTAGCTAGATAGACATTTTCAAATGAAGAAATGCTGATGATACTCAGCTCACAAAGCTACGTAAGGTCACATAGCACAGTGAGAACACAAACAGGGATAGAGCAGAGCTTTGAAAAGTTATTGTTTTTCTTCAATATAACCATTTAAGTCCTCATATTTGAGGCATAGAAAGTTTTGTGTTTATGGGTTTGTAATCAAATCCATGTTTTAAGAAAATATTTTTTTTATAATGTTTATTTATGTATGTGGGTGTATATCTATGGATAGGTATGTGTACTTGATTGCTGGTGTCTGCAGAGACCAGGGAAGTCAGCTCCGTGTAGAAATGGAGTTATCCTCTACAAGAGCATTATGTGCTTATATCTGATGACCCATCTCTCCAGCTTCATCATTTACCTGCTCGATCTCCACTGGCATGCCTAACAGAACCTTGGATTTAATTATTTAGACTCATTTCTGCTAAACTTAAATTTGACAATTGATGTCGATTTTTTTTTTTTTTTTAGAGGCAGGTTCTCATGTATCCTAGGCTAGCCTCAAATGCACTGTATAGTGGAGAATGGGCTTGAACTCCTGATTCTCCTGCCTCTGCCTGCCCAGTGCCTGACTTTTGCTGATGATTCTTGAACTCAAACTGTCTCTCTGTACCTCATGTTCTCTTGTATCTCTATGTGCCTCTGCTAGATTCCCACTAGCAGTGATTGTTAGCATGCAAGGAGAAAACTCAGAAATGTATCATTTGTTTATTACTAATTATAGAACTCATGGACTCAGAAAAAAAATAAAAATTCCTCTTTATTCTCAAATCAAAGGTGCAACTGGGCTACATTTTCATATCTTGGAGCCCCAAACATGTATCAGTTATGTCCTGATGGATGGCTAAAGTGTTCTCCAAATGGCAGAAGGGGGAACTCATCCTTATTGTAAAGAAGGTATGGACTTATTACTTTCTAAAGATAACTGATCGATAAGCATGCTTTCTCCATTCAGTAAACAAAAAATCATAGCAATTTTAAGGTAAAATGCTCCCAATTACTTGGCTGAAGATGTTTCACATAATATCCATTGTCTGGCTGCCATTTGGTTCTTCCTATTTTGTTTTGGAGCTATCGTCTCGATATATAGCCTAGGCTGGCCTTGAACTCAGCACTCCTGCCTTAGCTTTCAGAGGCCACCATTTATAGGTGTGCGCCACCAAGCCTGGCATCTTCTGACTTTCAACTACAACTTTCTGAGCCTTGACATTAATTATCTATCAATTCAATTTGTTTTGTTCCAGTTTCAAAGTGGTCATGGAATTTCAGATCAAACTACCTCAAGTTCAGTTTGCTTCCATCACCTTGGATATACCTCGTGATCCTTTATCAGTCAGTGGCAAAACTTTTGTTATTTATTCCAATTGCATCATCATCTTTGGGTCGTCTTTGAGTCATCGTTGTCAAATTATTGGCAGTAAAGCATCTGCTAATCAGCTGTAATTGTGATTCCCCATTTTTGTCTACTAATTGCTGCACACTATTGTAGGAATATTTTCCTCTCCCTCTGTATGTAAATAAGGTTGCCTGATTTGCTTGTCTGGTATCAATGTCAAGTTCCTTGGCTTTGGCTTCTTGTCCTCAACCTGTGCTTAGTCATTTTCCCTTCCCACTGTCCTGATGATTGACTATCCAGTGTTTCATTCACTGTGGCTGCTTCGGCTGCTCTGAGAAGAGACCCAGGATCCCGAGACTTCACCAGGGCGATCTGCTCTCGCAGTAAGCATTTTCCTATCTATTTTATTGTATAGTATTGTACCTATTTCATCCAACTCTGTGAACCAACATCTGGGTCTCTCAGTTTTGGGTTTAGCTCTTTCATTCCAATTGTTGGAAATGTTTTCTATAAAGGAGATCTTAAAGCACCATTAACTTATTCTCCAAGCAATTTGTAATTAGGTATTTACACCCATTGTGTTTGGTAGCCTTTAAATAGAGCACTAATGTGACAATTCTCTTTGTTTCAAAGGACATTATTGGAATAAATCTCCCTGATGAGTTAATTAATCATTATTATCTTTTCTTTCTATTTCTTCAAAACATACTTGTTTTATTTTGCTCTTTTTTGTCCCTTAACATTTTTCCTATTTCTTTTGTCATTGTTTCCACATAAAATTAGCTTGCAGTGTTGAAATGCCATCTGTGAACACCTGCCTTACTTCTTCACCCTCATCTTCCTATGGAGACCTAAGCTTTCCTAGTTTAATTCAACACTCAGTAAACATCCAGAGTACTGGATCTATGACATGTCTGTCAAGTCAAACCCCTCAGTGTTAGGGCCCACACCTATCAAGAGGTTAAAGTGCATCTTCTTCCATAAGCACCCAAATGCATTCTGATTCTCCCTTCTCCCTGTGCTGTGTCTCAGTGCTCTCTGCTGACACCTCTGTCTCTTCAAACTGACCTTGTTAGTGATTTGGCAAACTCAGGAGACCATCATCAAATAGAAGCAATCACATGAAATTATCATGGCCACAAAATAAGAAAAGGTTGTGGATGTTGGAATAGGAATTTAACTTTCATCATTCCTGTTTATTAAATGCAGCAGGAATGTGGGGGGGTCTCAATTATCATTTATTTGGCCTTTGTTTATCTATGATGAGTATTGGTGGGGAGGGAAGGAGTCAAAATAAAATCCAGGGCAATTTTATTAACCATGGATTTATCCAATTAACAAGCATAGTTAGGTTAGGTTAATTTTAAAATTTAAAACTAGTGTGTCTACTAATTTGATACAGATTTTGCCACTAAGAGGTGACAAAAAAGAATGGAAAACAACCTAACTTCAAATGGGAAAAGAAGCAACTAAAAAAAAAAAAAGAAAGAAAGAAAAAAAGCTATAAACAACAGGTAAGGGGAACACAAACATTTACATTTTAATGGAGACCAAACAGACAAGAAGGGACTTGTTGGGTTGGTCAAAGATATCTCGTATTTTGTTTTACTTCTCTGTTTTGAAAGTATCAGGAAGTTGGGCAAAATATCAACTCTCTTCTGTATTATATAGACATCCCAATACTGTTCTTGGCTAGCCTGTTCACAGTTCAAACTGACATTTTCAAACAATTTTAATTAGGTTGAAATTACAGTTACAATTCATTTACTCCAAATCCCTTAATCTTCCAGTATTTCAAAGAAGGCTGTGGAGTGGAACATAGGATTCGTCGGAGATGGCATTTAATGCGTAGCTAGGAACCATGACTGTACTGCCAGAAACATTATTTATTTCTTTTCTATGAAAAGCATATTCCATAGGCTTCCAAAGTCTTTGAACTTCCCTACTAAAGGCATGTTTATATCTTTGGGCTCTGGTGTATCAAGGCCTAAACAAACTGTTCTTATAGTATTACAAAAATCTATCCTAAATCATCCAAACAACTTCGTAGGCAGCTTCTGTAGATACTGTGTAATATGTAGCAAACTTAAAATTTTTCTCAGCAGTAAAATGAAGTGTTTCTCCTATGTAAAATTCTTCCGTGGGAGGAAAGAGGGGTAGAGGATAGGTTGGAATACCAACTGGAGATGTATTTTCAAGGGAATTCCTAACTTGAAATCTCTTGGTAGTTTGGAATATGAAAGCAGAGGCTTTAAGGTAGAAACTCAGAAGTCCCCAAAATGTTCTTTTCATGAATATCATCAGACTTGCTCATTTTGTTTTATATTTTCTGGTTTTATCATGGAGGATATGACAATTCTTGAAGGATTAACTTCTAAAGAGATTCCTGAGCTTTATTTAAAATCCAAAATTTAAAGAAATAGTTTTGGTAGAAACTGCTTGAGAGGCGTAAGGTAGGGGCTGTAAGGTAGGGGCTAGTACAGAGGGAAGCAGGGGACCCAGAGCAGCTGGAGCTGGATATAGGTCCGTCCTGACACTCAGCTTCCTCTAATCTCAAACCAAGTTTCCTCTCCCTTTGAAAATTCTATTCTCTCAGTTAAGGGATCTCCTTCAAGTGGCCTTAATGGGAAGGGAGTGGTGATAGATAGTAACAAGTCCACTGATTTCCCAGCTGCCCTTTTCTCCCAAGCATTCTCAAGAGACCCACTTGAACTTTCCTTATGTACTGTATACACCTTGACCTTTGCCATAGTGTACAGGCAGTGCCCCAAGACAACAAATCTATTCTTTTTAAGTAGATTGTCCAAAATCACTTATAAAAGGGAACCTCTATGGTGAGGATTGTTTTTGCTCAGAGGAATTCTCTGTGGTTCGTAAAAGCAGTATGTACGGTCTTTCATTCTTTTAAAAGAAAATAAATATTTCCATGTGGTAGTTCAAAACGTTGCATCCCTTCAAGTCCTGAAGATTGTTTCTTTTCACTCAATCATTTTAATGTCTTGGTACATTGCAGTGTGGGTTTTGAGACAGGAGAAGCAAAATACCACCATTTCTCCCCAAAGGAAACCACAAGTACCTTTAGCTTTGGTGTGTAGAAACTTGGCCCTTTGGTTGAATATAAGCCTGTCCTTTCTCAGATATCTGACATTGACCCCAGGGCAGAGCCCATCAGGTTCCCTTTCTAGGGTGAGCAGAGGACATCCACCAGCTGAATCTGTTTACCTAAAGGAATTAGGATGGTTTGAAATTGAAATCAGCTCTGCAACCCAAAATCTAAATAAATGGAAGAAGAGGAGAAGCCAAGTGGTAGGAGCTCTCCTGACCCCTTAAAAAACTGCTTCCAAAGAAATAGAGTGGGAAAGGAGAGACTTCTATAGACAGCCAATGGCAAATTGTATTTCTCTCCTTTTAAAAATTACAATCTACATGTGGGGGGTGTATTAAGCTTAAAAATATCTCGGACAGCACTCTTTAAAAAGTGAGCATTATTCTTTGTAATTAGATCAAGATCCAGCTGAGGCCTGGGACTATGAAAAGCTTAAATTAAATTAATCGTCTTAAAGGGGACAATTATTTAGTCAAATTTTGTAAAAGGAGCTCTCTCTGCAGCTGAATCTCCTGCCTCAATAATTAAGCTTTTAAAAGAACCAAACGGGACACAAAACCCCTTGTGCTAGTTAGATGTACCTTTTAAAACCCATCAAAGAAGAAAAACCAAAAAACAGAGAGTCCTCACCGCAGAAACTAAATTCCTCCCGCTAGCTGCCAGAGTAGTAGGGTGGTTGTTTAAAAACGCCCGGGGTTGTTTATACATCACTTTTGAAGGCCAAGTTTTTAAAGGCAGCTCAAAGCCAGGGCAAAATCAGGGGTGAAAAGCGAACCGAGACCCAAGGAAGCTGCCCAGCTGCAGTTACAGGGTCCACGGCGCCCCCTCCTCTAACAGGAAAGCGGGCAGAGTGGACCTCCCCAAGCTCCTAGCAGACACCTAGCCACCTTTAGAAGCCCGGGCTTAATCTAGGTGAGCCAGAGATAAGGGTCGGGAGGGTTCCAGGAAAAGCAACAGGATTTGCTACTAGCGGCTTCTGGCAGGGGCAGGCTAGAGGCTAGCAAAACTCCTCGGAAAACTTTGGCAAACAACTACGCCCGCCGTGGACTTTGGACTTGCTGATTCCAATAAGGCGGTTAAACTACTACTCCAACAACAACAACAACAACAACAACAACAACAACAACAACAACAACAACAAAAGCGGGGAGAAAATCCCTGGCGGTTTCTCTTGTTGGTTTATTTTTACTGACCGGAAGGCATAAAAGTAGCTCTTATTTGATTTCCTGGTGCCTTCATCTGAGAGACAAAATGGTTCGGGTGCTCACCCGGAGGTCCAGGAAGCTGGGAAGCAGACCGACTCGTCCCCTGCTAGTTATAACTTTTCCTAGTTTATATAAAAGGTAAGGCCTTTAACTGGCAGTTTCCAACTGGCTCTGGGTAGGCGTTCTGGGATCATCCTAACTTTTTTTTTTTTTTTCTACCCTCCCTGGATGCCTCCGGGGTCGGCTGAGACCGGCCCCTCCGGAGGGTCGCCAAGGCAACGCAGCATCCCCCGTATCCCAAGTTCAGGGAGAAGGACCAGGGGCGTCGGTGAGCAGCGTTCCACTCTGGAAGCCCTCCGCGCCCACCCAGCCTCTGCGCTCCGGGGTCACTCTGGGCATCAGCCGGCCTCCGCTTTATCCTCCCGCCACCCGCTCCGGGCCCAGTACCTTAAAAGCGATGGGCAGGGTCTTGTTGCAGCGCCAGTGGGTGGGCAGCACGGAGCAGAGGAAGTTGGGGCTGTCGGTGCGCACCAGCTCGCCGGGGTGGTCGGCTAGCACCTCCACCATGCTGCGGTCGCCGCTCCTCAGTTTGCTGGCCAGGGCGGCGCCGCCGTCCGGGGCGCCCAGCGGCAGCGCCTCGCTCATCTTGCCGGGGCTCAGCGCGGTGGAAGGCGGCGTGAAGCGGCGGCTCGTGCTGGCATCTACGGGGATACGCATCACAACAAGCCGGTTGAGTAAGGACCCTGCGAACAGCTCCTGCTAGCCGGCGACCGGGGCGCGGATCTTCACCAAGCAGCTCCGGGGGGACCCACATACAATTCAGGAGCTTTTACTACAGCGGGAGGGCTCAGGGAGGAGGGAGACTTAGTTACTAACCAGCCTAGGACTGGGAAAGTTCTAGTTACGCCGACCGGCCTCAAACCCAGGCCGGGCTAGCAACCGACCGCTTAGTGCATTAAAAAGTGGGCGACCAGCATCCAAAGTCATATGCCCAAAGGAAGACTTATCTTCTGAATCTTGCTTTGAGAGTTCAAGCTTAAGTCTTTGGCTATTACAAAAGGTCCCGGAGGCAAAATTCCCGTACACTTCCTAAAATATTTATGCGCCGAGCAAAAGCACCAGCAAAGGCACGGTCTGGAACTTCCAGCAGTTAATTGTCAGGGTTTTCCCCCCTCCTTATTGTAGGTCAGTTTTGCTTAAAGTCCCAACAGAACACAAAGTAGAGGACTGTCTTTCTTACACGGTCGCCTCTATTATCATGAAGAACTGACTTCCGTCCTCAAAAGCAACAGCCAGAACTTCCAAGGGTTGTGCTAATGTATGTGCTGGTATATATAAATATATACATATCTCTACTTCATAAAATATTTACAATACAATCTGTAGAGAATTTAAACACAACAGAAATCCATTAATGTTCGCTGAAGTTTTTTTTTTTTTTGATTTTAAGTATTTAAGTAGCCTTGAAAATCAGCTTCAGTAGTTAGAAGAGGGCTGGGTTAGAATCACTTGTCACAGTCTCTTAAATTCTGACCAAATGATCAGTGCAGAAAATTTAGCTTTTCAAAGATCTCTAGCTAATCTTAAAAAAAAAAAGTCCAAGTCGATGACACTCAGGGTACAGCTTCCCACATCTGAAAACTAGGGTTTGGGGGTGTTGGTTAAGTTTGTGGCTGATGCTGTGGTTTGCTGGGAGTTGAGCCGCAGGGTCACCCAGGCAGACGCGCACTCTTCAGAAACCAGCCGCTGTCTACATTGGTGAATCAGCCCAGACTCCGGCAGTAGCAAGACGATCTTCCTCCAACCTCGCCCCGGCGCAGGCCGGTTATCTGCCAGGACGCGCAAACACCCACTAGCACTGCGTAACCGCAGCAGGTGGAGCGGGCCTAGGAGGCACCGCAGAGCAGATCGAAACAGACCAGACGGTTCCAGTTACACTCGCTCTCGCACACTCCCACGCACCCCGCCACGCACAGGCAACTTCACGGCTTGTCTCGAGCCCCGGCACACTTTCTCCCGCAGTTGTCAAAAGAAACCATCGGAGAAAAGTTCACAGGCAGGAGAGAAGTTGAAACATCCAGCTAAGAAACCAGTTCATTCAAAAGTAATAAAGGGCAAAAAAAAAAAAAAATGTTAAAGTAAAAAGAAATAAAGGAAGTCCAACGCAGATCTAGGAGGCGCTGCAAAGGGTGGCTTTCTTGGTGGCGTCCCCAGGAGCTCGGGTTTAGGAGTGCCTGGCGGCGCAGGGCCGGGCAGCGTGGTGCCCAGGCTGGGTCCGGCCGCGGGGCGCCCGTCCTGCCCGCGCCCGCTGGCTCTATGAATGAGCGAGTGCCTGGAAATGAACGTGCTTTTACTGTAAGCCGGGCCAGAGGAATTCCATTCCCTCAGCTCGTTTGCATAGGGGCGAAGGGCGACCAATCACAGGCCTTTCCGGTATCTGCCTGGGCGCGGCCCGCTGCCTCGCTGCAGGAATTGGCCTGCGCGCCCCCGCGAGCTACTGTACAAACCCCGGCGGCGGGGAGCCGGTGGCCGCCGCTCCCGCCCCGTGCTCCCGCACCCACGGACACCCACGAGGACCCACGCACACACACATGCACACCACGCTGGCCCGAAGCCCCTCCCTGGCGCAGACCCACGCAGCGTGGTAGGGGGGCACTCCCCCAGGGGGTTGCAATACGCTGCGGCGCCACGGCCGGCCACAGTGCGGAGACCCAGAAGCACCAGGCAAAAGGCCGGTCCGGCTCGGGGACCGCGATCTGCGCGGAGAGAATCCAGGGCCTGGAGACCAGCTGGAAGGAGACGCCCTGCGCGCCCTGGACACGTAGCTGCCCATCGCGAGGCTCCGGGAACCCGGGCTAAGGTCCCGGAACCATCCCAAGACGTGCGCACAGTTGGCTTCCCGGGAGGACCGGGTGGGATTCGGCCACCAGGGGGCGGGAAGGTTAGGGCCGGGCCCGGGAGCTGCTGTGCGCGCCTCCCAAGGCCTGGCTGGTAGCTGCTGCCAAGTGGCACTTCGTCATTTCTATAAGATCAGAGAACTTTGGGTGTTCAGCATCCTCCCGGTATATTTCTGTCATTAGTGCTTTTCGCTGCGGCTCAATTGCGCAGCGTGCCCGGTTGCGGCTGAGTGTGCTCAGCTGAGGCGTAGAGGAGTTTTTTAATAGGCGAAGCCCCCCCCCCTTCCCCAAAGAGAACCCGAGACAGCAAAGAAAGTTGAAAGCATCCGCTCGACTCGCTCCCTGTCCACCGAATGCCCCCAGCTCTCATCCATCCTCCAGCTCCCCGGAACTTCCCCCCCGCCCCGGCCCACGCGTGTGAGTGACATGGGTGCAGAACCCACTGGGTCTGAGCACGGCGGGGGAACTTCCCTCTGCGTACGGTGCCGAGGGCATTTTCACCGGGCTTAAAGGGGCCCGACCCGGCTTGGCGCACGGCCCAGTGCAGTCCCCGGTCCGCGAGGCTCGTTCCGCGCCTCCCTTGGGTCCCCGATTCCTTTCCCGACCTTGCTTCCTCCGAGGCTTGTCACTGTCTCCCTGGAGCCCGCCACTCCCGCATATAAGACCGAACCCCCCAACTTCCACTCTGCGCTGAGGTCCCTTGCTCGTCCCTGGCGTCCCCTTCCCTTCCCTCGCATCCGCGCGGCAGGGCCTGATGTAGGAGGAGGAGGCCAGGGTGGGCCTGGCACCGAGGCCTTGCTCTGGCTCTCCGGGTGCTTCTCTGGCCCCAGGCGGGTAGAGGCCGGCGGCTAGGAGCCGCCAGCGGGCCTAGCCCTCTGCGGTGCCGGGTCGTGGGGCTCCCGGCTGACACCAGGGGGCAGCAGCAGCCCTCGATCCGTCCCCGGCCAGCTGCGCTGGACACTTGGCACGCCCCCGACGGCGCGCGGAGATCTGGCAGTCCAGCCTCGAGCTCTTGGGGTCGCTCTTGTGAGTTTGGGGACAAACGATAGGAAGCGGCCACGGAACCAACCTGAGCGCCGGTGGCTCAGAGTTAGTAGCCGGGTCAGCCTGCATGCGAAGCCTAGGGCTGGGAGGGGGGCGGAAGGAAGGGTCTCGGTTGTCTTGAAAAGCTAAAGTCAGGGTCTCTTTCCTTCTCACAGTTTCTTTGCCTGGGCAACGACTTATGCAGGTGCAGGACGGTGGGTGCTCCGGGTGCTCCGCCAGCGCGGCAGAGAGGCACAACCCCGCTGGCCCGGGCCTTTGGCTTCCCCCAGACCTGTGTGCACTTTCCACAAAGTGGGCCCAACCCTTGCTCCTGCATTGGAAACCCCCGGATAGTGCTGGCACAGAAAATCATGTTTTCCCTGTGTTCTAGGGTCCGGGGGTTTGGGAAGAAAAAATTATCTGTGTTTTTCTTAGAGATGATTTTCGAAGAAGTCCCACGTGATGCCAAATGCTGCAGCTAGTTCCCTGACGCCTGCAGCTCTCCTGCGAGGGCCACGGCTTCCGCGAGCCCTTGCGTGTCCAGTCTGGATGCTGCCAGATCTACAGGCGAGTTTGTGGCCACTGGAAGCTAATCTCCGTTCCAAAGCCTTTTCTGTGCGCAGGCTTAGGGTCTAGGGCTCCTGGGGCCACCGCCAAGCGCATCCCCAGGGACCCACGGAGACAGGGATGAAATGGGAGAGTGTGCCAGAGACAAAAATGGACCCTGACTCCAGGGAAAGAGCTGATTTGGAGTAATCTGTCGGAACGGTCAAAGGTTGCCCCAGTTGCCTGCCTAAAACCTTAAAGCCTGCGTGGAGCTGCGGGTTGTCAAAAGTCAAGATCTCTCCCTGAGTAAGGAAATGTATTTAGGGCGATGCACACACCAAATTTAGTTTTCATGGGCCCATATGCTGGTCAGCCGAGTTTTGCCAGATAAATATTGAGTTGGAAATTCGATAACAATGATAGAGCAACCGAAGCCTCCAGACCACGGTCGCGGGCATCCCTGGCCCTGCGCTGGCTGTTAGTGTGCCATGCGATGCGCTCTTGAAAACCAGAAACAAAACCACGGCCATCTCCTTACTTAACGGAAACGGGTGGCAAGTGCACATCTGGGACTCAGCTGAGGGGTACCGGGAGTATTTAGCAGGCAGCACTTTTTACGAAGTTTGTAACGTCCTGCAACCCCGCATGGGAAATCAGGAATTCCTTCCAACCCAGAGTGGTCATTTAGGCTACAATACAAAGTTTCCCCCTTTTCCCTCACCAAGAAAAAGGAAACATTTACTGCATTCAGCTCCCAACTTCCCCAGAGAAACACCAAAATTTACATGATAAAAAAAACTACAAGGGAAGGATTTGTTAGGCTGATGCTATTTAGTAGTCTTCCAAATTGAAGAAACTTGAAAACGCCCTTTACCCTTTACCAGAATGAACTTTTCTGTCCCTGAAATTAAAAAGGAATATTTGGTTAACTGGAAAGCAACATTTTCTAAACGGAGAACAGTAGCAGTTTATTGACTTTCTCCCGCTTACAATTTTAGGTGATTCTCTAACTGTAAGTGGTCTTAGAAAATATGTTTTGCATGTTTGCTATTTAAAATCATATCCAAAATAAAACATACTTAAAGGCAGGATTATAGTCTCAACAATTCTCTGAAATAAAATTACCCTTCCTTTGTAACATTCTCTTTCCAAAATTAGATTCTAAAAATGTAATATTTCAAAAAAGAATTTTTTATTCATTTTTAAAATTACCTCACAGTTAGTGCTGGACCAAATTGCTGCAGTTGGTACCTTAGGTCACAGACATAGACACAATTCTGGTGAATAACAGTCTATGTGAACGAATAACCTGCTGACCACTCCACACTGTCCTGTTTTCAACTTTGGAGTTTAATTACTCTTTCTTTTCCCCCTGAAGTACACATGTAATTTTTTTTACTTTTCAAATTTGATTACTAGGAGGATGAAATCTCTTCACTCTTCGACTGTATCCTCTACAAATATTTCCACGGTATGCTGTGCTGTGATTAACTTCACTCGACATTCATAAACCACTTGTGGACCTTACAAATAGCAAACAGAATATTTCTCTTTTTTTTAAAAAAAAGATTGGGAGTGCTTAGTAAACATTTTGCTTTCATAAAAAATTTGCATTACCACTGCTATAACAAAGGTAATAAACTCTGTTACAGCTGATAGAAGCCAAGCTTTTTTTTTTCCAGAGAGTCATATAGTCATTTAATAACAGCAGAATGTGTAAATGGTAAACGCCATAGAAGTGAAGGTATCATTTAAGGTTTCATTGCGATATTTTATATGGTACGACAGCTACAATACAGAGAATTTCTTTTAAGTATATTTGAATCAGCAAAAAGCGTAATTTAGCAAACTTATAAGTTATATATAGAAATACATCAGTAGAAAATCGTATATACATATATGAATGCATATTTTATTTTAAAAGTATAATTTGGAATCTTTTAAGTATATTTGAATCAGCAAAAAGCGTAATTTAGCAAACTTATAAGTTATATATAGAAATACATCAGTAGAAAATCGTATATACATATATGAATGCATATTTTATTTTAAAAGTATAATTTGGAATCTAACATACCAGGAGCATCTCTGGACGCATTCATTCCATGTATGCATTCTGAAATAATAAAAATAGAACAATAAAAATAATCATACGAATATACTAAAAATCAATGAATTTTTATCCTAATTACAATAAATGTTAAGCTTAAAAACTAAATTTCTACTGAATTCTTTTTTTGCTTCTCATGGTTTTGTTGTTGTTGTTTTGTTTTTTTTTTTTTAACATTGGGGAATTTATATCATGGTCCAAATCTATAAGCTTGTCTGGCATGAAAATGAAATAGTAAGTCATCAAATAAGTGGGCTGTGATCTAACACATGGATCTGTGTACTTTCTGACCATGTTTTCTTTCCACTGCTAGTGAATGCTAAATTTTCATACCTCAGACTCTCACTTTGTAAGCTGTATCTGTGAATGCATGTGAATTATTTACTAAAGAATAAAATCTGGAAGGTAAAGGGATGACTCAGAACTGAAGGTGAAATTAAAACCAAACCCTAGCTTAATACAAAAGCATTTTAAACTCTGTAATGCTGCAGAGGCTAAGCACAAGCTGTAAAGATATGAATATCATTCAAAGCCTTTTATTTTCAGAAAGTGTTTCTTGAACAAAAAAATTCAGAATATATTTTCTAAAAGTAACAAGCTAGTTGCTTTCACATCTGATTACCTTCTTCTATCTCCCCTTGCTGGCTTTCCTGTCCTCTCCTAAGAGATCAGCTTGTTTGTTTAGAAACCACTCATTCTGGAAATAACACAATACCAATTATTAGAAACTGTTATCACGTGCTAATTCTTCAGTATGAAGTATTTTCTGCATAACTGCTGCATATAAGCTACCAAGAAACCCATTGAGAAAGTCACAGGAAGTAGCTGTCTTATCCTTGCTTATGATATGAATTTGAAATCCCCCCCCTAAGCCCCCCAGCCTTGTATACTGATCATGGTCAGCACCAAGTGGCAGGAAGGGCGTATGGTTTTTCAAATCCTTAGGGTCTGAGCATTTCAAGTACTGTAAAGGGAAAGCTTGCGGCTCCATTCCACAGAGTTAATAGGAGAATGGTTTAAAAAAAAAAAAAAAAAAAAAAAACAGTAAAAATAAGAAAGGAGGTAATTATTTCAGATTTCCAGACGCTGTTTAAGTAAGCAGAAGAACAAGATTTGCAGCTCCTTAGTATATTTTTGCCAAAGCAAAAAAAAAAAAAGCAAAATAATAAAGGTTTCCATAGGACTGCCCTCTAATGAAAGGTTAAAGGATTTAAATATGTATAGTCTCCAGGGAGCATACTTAATTTTTTTTGCTTTAAAGACCATGGTTTACAAGTACGTAAAATGGCTCCTTAAAGATTTTTTAAAAGAAAAGAGTAGGGACAGAATAATTTGCACTAATTATGAATGATAAGGTAAGAAATAACAAATGGACCCTGAAGTTAGGTAAGCTCCATTTTAACAGGCAAGGGTGGGGCCAGTAAGAGGCACAGAGCAAAGCTGATCAGACAGCTGAATTTATTCCAGACACATGGTAGAAACAAACCCCTGGGTATTCTCTTATGGGACCCTGGGATACCTTTCTGTGTCAGGCTGAGAAATTTGAGTTGCAGAATGGGAAAGCAGGTATTCCTGTGCACACCTAATACTTCAATAATTCTAAGAGAAAAGTCAAGGTTCTTTCACATCTAAAAACAAAGGCAAACATGAGTGGGTTTTGAAAGGTCTGCCTGTTACCTGTAAGGACTTTCTTAGCTTGTTGTGTGACATTAGTCTTGAGAACACAGGGAAGTTGGCTAAACTCAGGGGAGGGGACTGGAATGTGCAGGTAAAGCCAAGCCTGTGGAACTCTGGAGGCATTCACACCCCCCTGGAACCAGGTAAAATGCTAATCTCAACTGTGACAGAGGAGAGGAGAGGCTATACCAGTGGGAGCTGAATGTGGCTGGCTCATCACTAGCGAGCTCTCCCTTCCCTTCCCACTACATGCCATTATATGTCAAGCAGAGATTATACAGCTACCCAGCTTAATCCCTGGATGTCATCGTCACTCCATTTTACAGATGAGGACCCTCCTCACTGGAGAGTTTAGGAAATTGCCCATGGTCACTTCACTTTTGACCAACACACACACACACACTTATAGACCTTATTATCACTTCACTTTTGACCAACACACACACACACATACACACACACACTTATAGACCTTATTATCACTTCACTTTTGACCAACATACACACACACATACACACACACACACACACACACACACACACACACACACTTATAGACCTTATTAGACACACAGGAGTTCACAGGCTATTACTTTTTCATGAGTATCCATGGTAGAGTTGGGAAAAATTAACTCTGATCTCATCTTTCACTTTTAAAAAATAGATTTATCTTA